AAAGTGTTTAAGAAAACTATTGGAAGCAAACAACGAAAAATATGTTGTTACACAACTCCTTCATTCATTCATTAGGTCAATTATGACCAGCTTGTTAATGAACTATGGGAAACCGATCTTACTAAAGATGACGAAAAAATAGGAAACATCACAACACCGCACAGAAGAGTTACGGTTTCACACTTTGAGGGAGGCTTGCCATTACCAGAGGGAGTTTGGAGGAAGGGTTTGTGCCATACAACAAGAAAAATATGAAGAAACAAACACGCAATACCTATTACATCTTAAACACCACCAACAGACATGAATTAGTCAATGGGCTTAGAGATATAAAAGAGTTTTGCTTCTTCAATATCATAACTTTTCAATGAATGAAGCATAATCATTTTTCAGAAATGATATTACTATGTTGGGCGATGGCAGCCATACATGGCCAACCATCAAATAGTTTGTTTTGTGAAAAAACTGAAAAACAAAATAAAAGCACATGAAAATGCAAAAACCAAGCAAAAACAAAGCAAAAGCCAAACAAAGCAAAACAAAAGCAAATAACAAAGCGAAAACAAAGCGCAACAATAGGCAAAAAACAAACAAAACAGCAAAACAATGTAGCTGTGGGTAGTTGTCGGTTTTTTTCACTTTTGTATCGCTTTATTTTCGCATTTTTTCGCTTTATTTTCGCATTTGTTTCGTTTTTTCGCTTTTTTCCTAGGAGGGTACAGCAAATATTGCTGACGAGTAAAAGTTCTCATAAGTGCAGAAGTGGTACCAGGAAAAAAGACCCCCCCAAAAAACAAAACAAATGCAAAAATAAAGCGAAAAAATGCGAAAATAAAGCGAAACAAATGTGAAACAAAGGGACAAATACGCACAGCTACATTTTTTGCTTTTTTGTTTGCTTTGCCTTTTGTTTTTTTTGGCTTTGTTTTTGCTTTATAAAACTATTTTGGCTCCTTGTATCTATGGCTGGCGTGCCCGACATAATTATATTAAGGTCTATTCAGTGGAGAGTGATGCCTACAGGATCCATGAAGATGATTTGACTAGAGTGATGGGCGAACCAAATCGTTTTCAAAAATCATATCAGACTGGAATATTGAACTTTGAAGAAGGCATAGGCAAGTGGAGACTGACAAACAAATCAATCAATTTTCCAACCAATAAGTATATATTTTGATATAATGCCTTAATGGAAATTCAAAAACTAGACAATGAACCAACAGAGGTGGTGGATGAATGGGACACCCCCGGAATATGTAAGCAAGTTGAAAAACAAAGCCCCTGCCTGATCAGATCAAATTTTGCTGGATCGGGCAAGAGTTTCACGGGTCAGTATTTTTAAAAGATGGAAAAACAAAGTGCCTCATAACTGGTGAAGTCAAAAAATAGAAGGTGACGCAACAACCCATATTTTTTTAATAATTCCAGTTCATAAGGGGGATGAACTACCAGAGTTTGATCATAGCAATGTTGATGTCATCTTCTTTGATTAAATCTATATGACCAAATTGTTAAAACTTTTACTGAAAAACACGGACAATAAAATCATCATAGGCGCCGGTGATACAAAACAGTTAGAACCAATCAATGATTTAACTAACACCCAGTCAAAGACCACAATATGGTCAAAATTGTCCTCAATTTGTTCTCTGAAACCAGTGAAATTGTCCAAAAGGTTCATCTGATTTCTGAAAATATAACTCAAACAGGCACGCAACAGGCAAAAATGGTAGATCTTTGGCGGGGGTAGCTACATATATATCTATATATACAATATATGATATACGAGAGACATCCAAGGTTGGACACTATATAGGCGCCTCCTGCCACATCCTGTTGTTGGGCCTCTTTCGGGCTGAAAACCTTCGAAAGTGGCGAAGACCACGAAAACGACGACTGCGCGAAAACCACGAAAACGACAAAAAACGGCGAAAACGGCGAAAACGACGAAAGCGGCGAAAACGGGAAAACGGCGAAAACAACGAAAACGGCGAAAACGGGAAAACGGCGAAAACTGTTCTCTTGCTTTTCTCGTTTTCACGCTCAAAGACAAGACAAGCAAGAAGACCTCAGAAAACTGGAATAAACTTCCACACGGCAAAACACGAAAACGGTTTTCTCGGTTTTCTCGGTTTTCTGGTTTTCTCGGTTTTCTGGTTTTCTCGGTTTTCTGGTTTTCTCGGTTTTCTGGTTTTCTCGGTTTTCTCGGTTTTCAGGTTTTATCGGTTTTGCCGTCGCATCGCGCGGGCCACGACGCAGGTTTTGTGTTCTTAGGTGCTGAGGGGTTCTTTCCAATTCTGTTTGCAAGTGCCGAGAAGCGCGTGGTGAGAGGTAGTTAAATGTGCCATGAGTCGCGCTGCTTAAAAATCATCCTTCCTACTCTAGTAGCTTCTTGCTCCTAGTAGAAAGGCCAGCAGTTACTAGTAGCGTCCTTGCTCCTAGTAGTAAAGCCCTTTGCTACTAGTAGCTATTTGCTACTAGTAGCGATGGCCTCCAACCTAATAGCGATGGCCTCCACCTAGTAGCGTCCTTGCTACTCTTCTCCTTTTTCAGGCTCCTTTCTTGTTTGCTGTTCTTTCCCTTTGCAGTAAAAGACCTGACTTGTTTTTGTGGTGTCAAGCAGAGAAGTGCTCACCTCGTTCAAACTGCTTCCATTCTTACTTTCTTGACTGTGGAACTGTCCTTTGGGCCCTTCTCAGGGACGGAGCATTCCAGAAGTCTTTCAAAGCCACTTGAGAAGCTCCAAAAGGCTCTTGAGCGTTTCGGGTTTGAGATGCTCCTAGTAGTACGGCCAGGAGCCCCTAGTAGCGTCCTTGTTCCTAGTAGCGATGCCCTTTGCTCCTAGTATTTTCTTGCTCCTAGTAGCGATGCCAGGACCCCCTAGTAGCTTCTTGTTCCTTGCATCTTTTGAGGGTGCAAGTTGCAATCCTAGAGAGGAAAGGTCTCCCCTCCTCGAGGTTGACTAATGGGGGAAGGTTAACCAAGCTGCCACAACTTATGCAGCTGTGAAAAGAACGATGTTGTTTGTCAGTTTCCCTGTATCTCTCTCAACCGTGTGACCAACGTTCCACGGACCTCATACAGCAACACAACATGTATGTGCACTATATATGTGGATGCATGTGTCCGCCTCATGTCCTCAGGGGCAAATCGCAAGTCGCAGGTGCGTGCATTTCGAGAATTTAGAGGCCAGGTAGCTGAATGTGACACCAGCTGTGGCCGACAGTCGACTGGATGGATGTGCAGTCCGTCTTGAGAGTACGAATGTGTGAAATTATGAGACACACAAGGAACAAGGAGGAAAGAAAAAGCACAAGGAAACAAAACAGGTGTTTTGTTTGTCTTGCTTTTTCATTGTTTTGCCAGCGTTGCAGAGGCAGTCTTCCAGTTTCAGTTGGACGATGCTCGGCCTTTCTCGCGCCCCTCCACAAAGTTTAGGCCGTTCTTTGTGCATGTCAGTTGTTCATCACTTGTTTGTCACCTTGCTTAGCAGAATCATGTCATAATGTATCTTCTCGTATTATATCGTATGTTTGTTTTGTCCTTCCGTGTTTGATGTGTTTGATGTCTCGCCCACCATAGCCACAACTGGCTGTAGGCAGCCATTCCACTAGACAAAATACTCTGACAAGCCAAACCAGGCCAAGCGTGCCAGTGGCCTTTTGACTGCTTCCCCTTTGACACAGCCATACTCCCAATAGTTGTCTCTTCTTGCGACGCCTTGCCACCGATTCCAACGGTCTGTTCAGATTCAAAGGCAACAAGAGCCTAACTGCCCCTCATGGATCCGGCCGTACCAGCTTCACTTCGCTTTCTTCTCAGCCATGTCGCCAAAGAAAAAAAGCGACGCGAAGAAGAAAGGCGAACCAGCTGCCTGAGCTGACATGTCTTTACGTATTGTCAAGTTGAAGGTGTTGGTACAAACAAAAATCATGAATTTCTTGTGATGTAGAATTGATTTGCACAAAGCTGCAAAGATGTAGAGTTTGATTTCTGTTCAGCACGTAAGCTCGCCTTTTTGCATCAGCTATTGGCACTCAGCTTTTTCAGTAGTGCGGAATGATGAATGCCAGGGGAAAGCTAAAAGTAAGACAAAAGCCAAAGCCAAAACAGTCGTCTCCTCGGATTCAGATGAGTTTCTTTGTTCACAAAAAGTGTTGACCCCTTGCTGGCCTGACCTCACTAGTCCCTCTAAAATCCGCAATCTTTCTCGCTTCCAAATAAAGCCATCTTACACATGTGTTGCTTTAGCCACTCTACTTTTGTGTTGTGAATAAACCCATCTCTAGCATTCAGGGGGGCTAAAGCTTCGCCACCCACAGCAACGAGTTTGACGTCTGTGGGATCGTTAAAGGCAGATTTGCAGACGGCTTCTGAGAGCTGACTTTTACCATTGTGTTTTTTCTTTTTGTTTTTTGTTGGTTGATCATTTGTTTGTTTGTTTGTTCCTGATTTTTTTAGTTAGCGGGGGGGGTAGGCCGCGATAGTAGCTTGCTAGAGGTAGCTAGTAGCTAACAAGTAGCTACTACTTAGAACGCAGGATAGCTCACGCTTCTTCAAGGAAGCTCCGACAGGGCGGCGGGGGGAAGCTTCCTTGAGAGTTTTGTTGGGCTTGAAGTGGCTCAAGGGTAATGAAGCGTTCTTAGAGGGCAGGACGGGCACTGCCCCCGTGCAAGACGGGGTGCCTTTGTACATAGAATAGGTGCCCAGTCCAGAGCTAGAAGACAGACAAAAAGCCAACAGCTCCGAGCTACGGAATAAAAGGCCAAAGGGCATCCAAGGGCAGGTATCAGAACCCATGAAGATCCTGACAAGATGGCTGTCCAATACAGCGGCTTTATCACGCTATCATTCTAATTCTACACGTTCCTTCAAAAGCAAGATGAACGATATATTTTACTCTAAACGCATGGTTCGATTGAAGTGCACACCACAAGAACCGTATTGTCAAATTCGAGGAGTTTCGCTTGAGCTCCACTGGAGCTCGCGTAACTCACGCGATGGAGGCTGCCGAGAGTGACACGGCGAGCTGTGTCTCCCTCTCATCGGCGCTGTTGGAACTCCCTGCCTTTCTGCCTCTCACGGCACTCTCGGTCGGTCGCGACTGGGCTGTTTTTGGAATGAATTTCACCTGAGGTCCTTGCTCCGTTCGTAGCGATGCCCTTTCCTCCTAGTAGCGTCCTTGTTCCTAGCAGCGATGCAGCGTCCTTGCTCCTATGTGTCACGAGAGGAGAGAGGCTCAAGGAACTTTTGGAGCAGAGCTTCTAAAGCCAAGGATTTGCATCGACCCACCATTCTATGATCTTCCTATGGGTAAGTGGCATCAAGGGCATTGGCCGCAAGACTGAGACAAAAGAGAAGAAGCTGGTTATAGTAGTGGTTCAGGCAGGCCTTGCAGTCTTCGCTTGAAAGCGCGGACACACCTTCAAGCAGGTTAGAGAATAATTATGTCGCTTTGAGGGCTTGCAGAAAGACTAGTTTGAATGTTGCAGGATGAAGCCAAAAAGCAGCCAGCGGTGATGCTGCAATCCAGCTGGGCCCTAAAGAACAGCCCTTTCTTTGCACCTCTGAGTGAGAGCAGCCGACCCTACCGCTGCTTGGCATTGCTTTGCTTTTGGACACTCCAGACGGTTGACCGCAGGGAGGGTTCAGGAGAGATGGCCTTTGGGCCATCTCTATCCGTTCGGTGACCCGTTTGGCCAATTGAACGGTCACTCTTGGTAACGGTCACCGCCTCCTTTCCCGGACGAATGTCTGCGGCCGCCATGCAAATGAATAACGAATTAAAGGGAACAACTCCTTGCCAAAGTAATCCTGGCCCAACAAGGGGCATCGCTACTAGGAACAAGTGCATCGCTACTAGTAACAAGTGCCTTACTACGTAGTAGTAACAAGAAGCTATTAGAATTAAGTTTAATTAGGATTTATATTTACTAGCTTCTTGTTTCTACTAGTAAGGCACTTGTTACTAGAAGCGGTAGCCTTCTAGTGCCACGCTAGTAGAAACAAGTGCCACGCTAGTAGTAACAGGTGCCTTACTAGTAGTAACACTGTTTGCTATTAGAAACAATAAATAAATTAGAATCAGACAAAAATGCCCAACAGATCACAACGGTTCTGAAACCTCGGCAACGGGTCAGGATTTGCACAAGGCAATTGGCACCGCATAGAAATCATTCAGATACTCCTTCAGTGAGGTCGTCAACCACTCTCCCTTCTCTCCTTGACCAATCGAAACTGCCTTTGGTAGCCGGTAGCGGAGTCGTCCGGACACCTATGCAAAGAAATAGACCTTTCTTTCTTTTCGTTGATTCTCTCTAATAGCAATGGCCTCGAATCCAATAGAAATGGCCTCCAACCGAATAGCAATGAGCAATGGCCTCCAACCTAATAGCAATGGCCTCCAACCAAATAGCAATGGCCTCCAACCTAATAGCAATGGCCTGCAACCAAATAGTAATAGCCTCCAACCAAATAGCAATGGCCTCCAACCAAATAGCAATGGCCTTCAA